ATAGTGATAATTATTAAAAGTATTTCCAGTAGAAAGATAAATATAAAAATTAAATATATAATAGTATTCAAGCTCAGTTATGAATAGTAATTACAAAATTCAGTTTATATAATTATATGTAATCAAGAGCTGCTAACTCTATTTATTATATAAGAGATAGAAATAAAGGTAAAGAATTCATGAGAAATAAAATTTCTTACAAAAGCAGACACTTATAGAGATTTTAAAAAGATTTATAAAAAAATTAATAGTGATTTTAAAACACTGTAAAAGCTCTATACAACTTTTTAAAAATAGTAATAAGTATTACACATCAGTCTTTCTGATGAAATTTGTAAGAGGTCTACGTCGAATAGATGAGTATAATATTGATAGATCTTATATAACAAAGATAAAAACATTAGAGAAGGAAAGAAAGAGAAAGTGTGAGAATCAGTGATCAAGGTGAATATTTATACGTGTATGTGATGGCATACATGGTGGAGCTTTGAGGTGGAAGAATATACACGCATTTGTAGCAGCTGAGAATCAGTGATCAAGAATGACTGAGAATCAGAGTGTACACATTTGAGAATGAAGTGATTGAAATCTGTGAAGTGTAATAAAATAGTCTATATGATTGATCAGGCGCAGCCTCTTGAAGGATAACGTTGTTGTGTTGTGTTGTAATCTAACTACACGAGTTACACTAAATGAATAGGTTGGGGTGGCACGTGACTAGGGTAGGTGTAGTAATCACCAACACCCTCCCTTGCTACACTGTGGCCTATAATAAGCTGCCACCCGGGGCCTCTCTCATCCTCAAATCTTTCAAAAATGCAATAATAATTAATTACATGAATCAGACCCTGATTTCCTCATTAGGAAAGGCGTCTGTACAGCAATAACTGTAAAAATCAAGAAATACATGCAAAATTCATTGATCTGCTGTATTATTATTATCATTCAATCATTCCTTTCTGATCTCTTTCAAATCAATTCTTTTGACAAAATCTTCAAACACAGGCTTCACCAGTGACTTGGTGAGCCTGTCAGCTATGTTCACTGTAGAATCAACATATTTCATCATGATTTTCCCTTTTTCAACCAAGTTGTGAAGAATATGATATCTAATCTTGATATAGCACAATCTTCATGTTAAGAATTCCTTCTTTGCTAGATCAATTGCTCTCTTATTGTCAACTTGTAGATGTGAGCATATTTTCACTTTTTCATCATTCATCAACTCAGTATCATATAACATATTATTCAATCAGATTATCTCACAAGCTGTCTTACTAGCTGCAATATATTCAGCTTCTGTGATTGATTTGATAATAGATGTCTGTCTCTGTGACTGCCATGAGATCAGTGACCTGTTAATCAATATAACATAGCTGATAGTCAATTTGTATTGAGGATCTGTTCTCACTCAGTCTGAATCACAGTATATCACAGAACTCAGGCCATCTTCTATCTCCTTCTTATACAATATGCCATGATTTTTCATCTTCTTGATATAACATAGGACATGCTTCAACGCTGTCCAACATGCTTTGTGTGAATGTGAGTTAAAATGTGAGAGATAGTTGACTGCAAATGCCAGGTCTGGCTGACTGCTTGAGACTAAATACTGCAATGATCTCAATTCTTGATGATATCTTGTAGCTGTAAAGTCATTATTTAATTCATCATTCTCATCAGGTGAAAATTCCAGTTGTATGCCTGTTATCATAGAGGTTCTCACAGGATTCATCTTATTCATGCTGAAATCTTCAAGAATCTCCTCAATATAACAGCTCTGTGTAACCACTAGATCATCATTTTCTCTGGCATTTGATCTTCATCTCAAGATATGACTTGATCTCTTTGACATTCTTTGTCTCAAATCTCTTTATGATCTCTCTTAATACTCAGTCTAATTACTGTTCTTGAGATTCTGTCACCTGACAATCATTGACATGCAATGTCAGATAGATCTTGTGAACAGAATAATATAGAAATTCATCATCATAAGGTGATATCTTGAATCTCAATGTAATGAGATGTTTCATTGCTAGGAAATATCATACTCTCACAGCTTGCTTCATTTCATATAGACTCTGATGAAGTAGTCTCATCAAGCCCTCTCTGCTATGCTTAACACCTGTGAGCAGTTGTATATAGATCATCTCATTCTGTGGTAGTATGTCATTCAAAAACATGGATATATAGTCAATCAATTTGACCTTTCATTCTTTGGCAGTTGATATAGTAAATAGACTGTGTGATGTAGGCCCTGATATCACTGCAGCATATAATCTCATATAATAAATACCCTGCTGTTGCAAGAACTCTCTAATCACTCAGTGAGCTCTAAAGCAGATGATTTCTCTCTTATGAATTTCTGATTATATACTCATTTGTCTGTAAGGATATCATTTCTGAGCCTTCTCAATGATAATATATATCTTCTTCTATTCAAATATCTTAATCTCCTTTTCATTGTCTCATGTCAATAGTCTCAGTCTGAGCTTCTCTTGACTTTCATCAGTGTAGTTGATTGATCTGTCAGAATACTTAGAACAGAATCATTCTCATTAACAGAATCTTCAGACTCTTCATTCATGACAAGCTGTGTCTCATCATCTAGAAGATAGGTTGAATGAATTGTACTCTCTAAGTCCTCATTAACAATCATCTTCAAAACATCTGACTTTTTCTTTACAAGTCTTCTTAGAAGGCAGTGTTGTCATCTCTCTCTGGCATTCAGAATGTCCAATTCATTAGGTAATTCATTGAATTCTCTCACTGTATTTACAGGTGTATTTGCACTCATGTCAAGAGCTTCATCAAATATGATATCTCATGCAATCTCAAGATGACATGCAACAGGATCCCACACACGATATTGGTGTAATTCTTGATATTCAACCAGCTGTTATTTCCTGCTGTCAGTTCTATTCATGAGCTTATTCAACACTTTCAAATCCTTCTTGTAGACCTTGCACCCCCATCTCTGTATTCAATGAACAGAAGGTTACACCTCAGTTCATGCTTCAAAAGATGTAAGTGATGTTTCTTTCTTGTATTCAAATATCTTCATTGATGTTGAGAATGTGTTGATCATCATGACTGTGGCTTGCATTGCCTCATCTCAGAGCTCTTTCATCAGCTCACTATTAAATAGCAAGCTTCTTGTCTTCTCTGTAACTATTCAATTCACACATTCTGCTGGGCCATTTGATTGTGATGTATCAGATGTAGTCATTTCATATGCTATTTCTTTGCTCTGGCAGTAGATCTTAAGTTCTTGACTTTTGAACTCTTCTTCATCATCTCAGTGTAGGGTTTCAATTCAGCATTGAGTAGTGGCCTCAATTTCATCAATAAAGGTCATTAAACACACAGTGGCCTCACTCTTTAACATTATAAGAATAATTCATCTGTAGCATGTAGCATCATCTGTAATACTCATTCAATAATTAGCTCTCTCTTGAGTAGAAAGGTTGACTTCATCATATAGTGTGTGACTGCCATCTGCAAGGTCTATGAAGAATCTCATTGCAGATTTGATAGTTCTTATCATTGATGCAAATGTTGAATGTGTCATTTTTGTCTGTACACAGGTCTTGCAGAATGACAAAGCTCTGTCACTCTTTATTCTCATTTCTAGTCATGAATCTGCCACTATTTTTACAATATTCATGGGATTCAGATGTTCTAGCTTTTAATGTCATTGCATCATCATAAGTTCTATAATCTTTGTATCATTTCTTTCAGATAGTGTCAATATTGTGTCATCTTTCATCTGTAATGTGTTCACAGGTTCAAAATCATCATTGAGTATAGCAAACCAGATCAAGTCTCTGTATGTAATCAGCCTTTTTATCTCATAGATATCATTCTCATTTAATCTTGCTGTAAATGAGAATATGTGATTGAGAGACATAATCAACATAGCATGATTATTCGTGGG